TTTATCATTAAAATGATATTTAATAAATGTTTCCTATGTGATGTGATGCAGCATCAAAACATAGAAATATCACAGATATTTGAAATATGTTGTTATTGTGTGTATGTGTGTGTGTTGTTATCCAGTCAGTTGTGTACCTGTGGCCAGGTGAGGTCACAGCTGATCAGACTGAGAACTTTGAGGCTGCAGAACGACCGACACAGAGACGAGGGGTCGGAGGGCAAACGCAGAATGTTGTTGCTACACAAGAAAAAGATGTTCAGTGACATGCACACATACTTTACCCACATATACACACAGTCCAGGTGTCGTTCGCTTTACTTCAGGGCGTCCCGTTTCCCTTCAGACTAACTGCCCTCACGGGATGACTGAAGTGAAGCGAACACGCTCGCCACGAGGCAGGGATCATATCGTTGGTCGACCAGCGGTCAACACGACACCTGGGCTTCTATTGACTGGGGAATCTGAGAGCAGACGATTCACGAGCGCACATACAGCCGCCTGAAGCTGGAGCAGGAAACCGTGCGAGCAACAACATATCTGAGTGTAAGCACAGTCTGAGCAGAAGCAGAGCACATGGAAGTCCAACAGGAGCCACTTGAGTTCAAGGGCAGAGGTCTGACGAAAAGAACTGAAAGACCACGCTCTTGATTAAAGATAGGACAAAAAACCCCATACATATATATATACACACACACAATACACACACCCACACACACTACCTGAGCTGGAGTCCCTCCAGTCCCTCCAGCTGCCCAGTGATGGTGGACACGTCCTCCCAGCAGGACAACAGACTGCGACACATGTCCAACCACTTGACGTCTGATCACTGACGTTAAGGCTTCACTGAACACGATCACAAGCACAGTGACAACAATCACACATCACGTGTCCAGATCAACACTTAACTGGACCTTAAACAACACACGACGAGTGTGAAGCTGATTCCACAGAGACACACTCAGACCAAGTTAAAGTTCTGTGGCCATAGTTTGGATCTGGATGTGCTTTGGTGTCCACATACTTTTGGCCGAGTATTCGACTCTGAATGGAACAATAAAAACTTCTTGTTTAAGTTCAGCAGAGAGTTATGGTTAAAGATACCGGGGGTTGTTTTCCTGATTTCTCCGTCACTTCCAGGTCCGTTCACTTGACTGTCTCCAAGCAACACTGTCGTCAGACTCTGTAAACTAGAGACACAAGCAGGAGATGAAATGAACTGATCTTCATCTTCTCCTCTTCCTCCTCACAGCATCGTACCTGCGCTCCTGGATGGGCTTCTTCTTAAACATGGTGGAAACTTCGTCACTCAGCAGCTTCTCTGTGTCGTTGCCGTAAACCTGTCGCACAGCGGTCAGGTAGTCCAAGCCAAAGCTCACCTTCCCCGGACGGACGAAGGAGCCGCCTGCAGCATGTCTGAGAGACAACAGCTGATGAGTCAATCATTTGATTCCAACTCTAATTGTTGAATCTATCTAATCTACATCACTGGTCATCAGACAAGTTATTCTATCAAAATAAAAATGATTCTCATTTTGATCCTTACAGTCTCAGACTGGAAATAATAATAATAAAAATATCTCTGATAGTCTGCCATCTTGTGATGAAGACGTTTTAGAGTCAGTGCAGCAGTGACGGTACCGAGGTCCCGCCCACACATGCTCTCATGACCAACCATGAGTCACTCTCAGCTGTCAATCAGGATAACTTGAGTTCATGTCTGAAACTATTTAACCTTAAACCTCAGTTTGATCAAAGTGAGTCTGATGAGTGAAGGTGGAGAACGTTTCCTCCTTCGCTCCCTGAGTCTGTTCTCTCTCTCTGCTGAGTGGGTTCATCTCCTGAGAGAACAAGTGACTGAGAGTCTCCATCAGCTGAAGAGTGAAGCTGAACTGAGATCAGTTCTTAACAACCAGAGTTTATCTCCAGTGTTCAGCAGAAACCTTCAAACATGAAGAACTCGGATTCATCGAGCTGCTCAAGTTTACCTGCATGTGAAA